CATTTGCTCTTTCCACTCGCATTTCCTGTCTGAAGCAGCTGCTGATGATATACCGGCTTCATTCTAAGTTGTATCTGCTTTGAAAACTTCATCGCGCTGTTTTCGTCCATCACGTCTTTTAGTGGAAACCGCTTTCATGCAACCTCAGCCCCTCCCTCCTCCTCTGATTTTCCTTGTCGATCGTTAACGAAGCTTAATTATTAGTTAATAAATTCTGATGATCTCAGACAGCCAGTGTTTTCATGTTGGCTTTGTTTCGACCTTTTCTTGGGAAAGGGCACAGGTTGAGGCGCTGGTGTTGCACCATGATCCGCATGAAAACTTCATTCCCAGTATGCATGCCTGCCAAAAATTTCACTTGAAGAGCAATGCATAATTTCCGATGACCAGCCATTCACTGGAAGTATAAACTGGACAGTGAATAAGATATCGATAGAAAACGATAACGAAAATGACAAAATGGACTTGTTTTTGAGATTTCGCTAAAACTGAGGATTTGTCATGTCCGTGTGCAGGAGATTTAGCCTCTACGCTGAATTTGAATTACAGATGGATATCCTTGTAAAACACTAGCTTCGTAGCATGTCCGATACCTGAAATCGCCACTTCACTACAAATATTCTTGAAAAATATATGCCTCAAGTTATGGCGCAAGTGCAATTCGGAACCCAATTTAGGTATATACGATTTCCCTAATGGACGTTAAATATCCTTTCAAAAATTGCAGCTTTGATTTCCGGCTAATTTTCGAGTTGACATGGTGCTAACTGTGAACTTTGACATGACTGTGTAAAGTAAGTGTGTGCGAAACTTGAATTTGAAATCTTTAACTCACACTGGACAGACAGTACCTCTCCACAGTTACAGCTTCCGACGTTTGCCGGTTCCCACCAAGTTTATTTATACACATATATATACATATATATGTACATATATATGTGTATATATGTACACATGTATATACATATATACATGTATATATATATATATATATATATACATTTTCTTTCAGGCGTCCGCATATAAGTGTTTGGGTGTTGATTTTAAA